TCGGCCCAATGCATTTCAAGGGCTCCAGTCCCCAACGGGAGCTGTCAGCAGTAATTACAAGCAGAAAGCAAGACAGTCACTGGGCTGCAGCCCGCTGGGGCCTTCGCTCCTGCCTGCACGAAAACACAGGCAGACTGTCCATGCACTTCAGTCTCCAGGCTGAGCCATAGTGGAAGGACAAGTCCAGGCCTCGCTCCCACCCTTCCTGCCTTCATCTCTGCCTTGATCCCCCTGCAGGGAGCCGAAGGGCTGCCTCGGCCTTTGCCAGAGTGGAAGACCTGGCCAGGCACTTGCCGAGGCCCCTCTGGTGTGCTCACACTCCCCAGTGGGGCGCTGGAGGGAGAGTGGTAGATGTCACCGGAGGCACAGCCTGGCACCCCACTGCCCCTCCAGGCCCAGGCAGACCCCCCTTCGTGTCGGCCGCCTGCCTGTGGGGCCACGCGTCCCTCAGTCTGGAAGAAGAGGGTATGAGAGAGACTGAGCTGGGACCAGCTCAGACTTGTCACTGTGGAGGGCGGCGTGGCCCGCATTTTACAGCGGAGGCAACTGAGGCTGGGTGCGCAGGGCCCTGAAAGGCGGGCGCCTGTGCAGCGCGGGCTCTGTCTGCGTCTCCCTCAGATGCACACAGGCCTTTATTTGCTTCTCACACATCCAGAAACAACCCCCAGCCGGCTGGTCTCGACTTACAGCAGAGCGAGGCTTGTGAACAGCTGTGGGTTTCAAGGAGGGCAGAAGGCAATGAAAACCTCTGGTGGATTCCAAGGCTTTGATCAGGCAGGGCCTGGGCTGGCAGGATGGGGTGCATACAGTTGAGGTGCCGCCGTGTCTGCAGAGCCGGCAGCTAAAGGGATTCGAACCCAGGCCTGCCGGCCCTGGCCTTCGCCGTGTGAGCTGCTTGCTAGGAAGCCTCCTCAAGCTCCTTCCCTTCTTGCTGCTCTTGGAGAGGTGAGGGGAGCAGCAGCTGCTGGAGCACCCTGCCGTCCGGGGCAGGGGCTGCTCTGACAGGAGAGACACCCTCAGCCACCCGCTCTGCCGGAACCAGCTTGCTGCGCGCTGCACGTTTGCACCCTGCCCTGGCCCAGCCTGGCCGCATCCCGGGCCCCTCTGTACCTGGCTGGGGCAGGCCCGCCCCAACCTTCCCCACGGAGTCTGACCCTCTCTCCAGAGCAGAGCCGGGCTCATCTGCACGCCAGCCCTTAGAGCCACCCCTTTGCAGCTGCCTACACAGCCCGGAGCCTCTGCTGCTTTGCTGAGACTCAGCCGGCCTGGGATGGGATGGGACGGGGGTCTGACCTCCTTGGGAGGCACAGAGTGGAAAAGGACTGAGGCCAGGCTCGCAGGAGAGATCGCGCCTCTCAGGGTGTCTCGGTGTTTCCCACGCTTCCTCCACCACGGGTCTCTCTCCCAAGCACGCCTGCGGACACTGCAGGCCAGTGCGCCCTGCGGGCCACTTGGGGAAGGCAGTGTGCCGTGAATGTGCGCGAGGGCCTGTCCTCCCGAGTGTCACAGCCAGGTCCTCTTCTCACCCAGCCGCCCTGGGACAGCGGGTGATCAGAGTCCCGCCCTGGGGTGGCAGAGCAGGTCCACCCGACTCCAAAGCAAGGCCATTCCTCTGCCACCTCAGAGGTCCCTCCTTGGGGAGCCCCAGGGGCCCTGTGCCCCCAGCAGCCTCTCTATGGTTCAGCCAGGGACCCAGACAGAGAATCCCTTCCAAGAATTCCTGACAGCTTTCTTGCCCAGATGTCATCCAAGCTAGACCCAGACAGCGGGGCATAGAGGACGTCTGCAACCCCAGCACTTTGGGAGGCCAAGGCAGGAGGGTCTTGAGTTCAAGCTCAGCCTGGACAACTCAGTGACTTAGTGAGGCCCTGTCTCAAAAGAAAAAAGAAAAAAGACCTGGGGATGTAGCTCAGTGCAAAGGCCCTGGGTTTAATCCCCAGTACTGGAGGAGGGGGGAAAAGATGGGCCTGGAGCCACCTCTGCCCACCAAGGCCACTGCTGTGGCCCAAAGGCGGGTCCCGGCTCCTTTTTCCTGTCGCTGCTGACATGTGCTGACATGGAGTGCCGGTCACAGCAGGACCGCCATCCGCTCCTGGCCCAGGCACTGGCAGAACTGGAGTTGCTGCCATCAGCCCTGCATGGGCCCTGCTAAGAGTTCTGCTTATCCCACACCCTGCTCTGCTCTGCAAACTCTGTTTGCTTTTGTTCGGTTGGTTGCTTGGTTTCTGTTTTATCTGTTGCTTGTTGGGGTGCTGGGCATGGGAACCAGCACCCAATGCATGCTGGGTGAGAACTGCACCCCCGAGATACATCCAGCCCTGTTATCCTTTTTAAAACCCTGCATCCTGGAAGCCAAATACAGGCAGGACCCTCTGTGGGAAACTTGATTTCGGTCACTTAAGGGCCTTCTCACCCAACCACGGTGACCCACCAGGGACGGTCGCAGAGCTGGCAGGGAGTAGGGTCTCGGGAGTGCGCTTGCTTAGCACAGGAGGCCCTGGGCTCATCCACAGCAGCACGAAAAAGACAACAAATTAAACCAACGGAGACATGCAGGAAGCGAGTGGGCGTGGCCAGGGCTTTGGCCCTGAGCTCTGCCTGGGCAAGGTCTTCCCGTCCTCCAACCTCAGTTTTCTCTAAGAAGCCAATGCCACCGACCTCACAGGGTGGCTGGAGTGACTGAGACTGAGTGTGGGGTCACGATGAGCTCCCAGAAGAGGCCCAGGCTGGGACTGGGCCCCGTGATATTGTGGCAGCCAAGAGGGCCTGGCCCTGGCGAGGTGGTCGGGCAGAGACACTGTGCAGGACACGGCGGGAGAGAGGGGGAGGAGGGCTGGTCCAGGTCGTGGGCCTGTGGGCCCCAGGTCCCAGTGCTCAGGAACTTAGCCCACTAGGTCAGCCTCTGGTGGGGCTGCACCTGTGGTGGCACCAGGCCCAGCCCAGGAGCCCCAGGACTTTGGAGTGACCCCATGACCCTCTACTGGAGCCCCAGCTGAGCCCGGGGCATGGTGTGACATCCAAACCCTCAGCCAACCTGACGCTGGCGGCCGGAAACACTTAGACCCCAGCCTTCTGAATTGCCCTGGTTTCCTCTGGGGGACAGAGGGACCAAGTGGCAGAGGCTGACCTGGCCACAGACGGCCAGGGAGCGCATCGCCGGGTCCTCAGAGGCACCGGAAGTGAAGGACACTCCAGGAAGGCTGGGAGAGAGGCCAAGGCCGAGCTGCCCTGCACCCCTCAGTCCCTGCCAGGGCCCCCTTCCCGCTTGCTGGGCTGTTCTCTCCGCCCACCTTGCCTGCCCCTCTCCACGCACATGAACACACGCATGTGCACACACACGCGTGCCCACACACGCACACACTTCTTGGAACCAAATTCCCACATGCTGCTTCTCCAAGCAGCTCTCTCCATTCTGCCCTAGGCCAACCCAAAGCCAACAGGCCTTCTCCTGGGATTGCGGCCAAGGCACCGGCTCGATGGGCAAGTGCTGTGCTGCTGAGTGATCCCCCTGCCCTCATGCACAAAACTCCTTAAAGTACTGCAGAAAATGACCTTGAGACTCACTGGGGGGAGACGAACTTGGGGTGTAGACCTGGGTGCTGGCCCTGCAGGATCTCGCTATGAGCAGACACAGGAGGCTGAGGATCCCTGGCCTGAAATGCTCAGGCCCACAGGTGTTTTGGATTTTGAAGCTTTTAGCTTTTGGAACATCTGCATATACTTAGTGAGCTGTCCTGAGGGTAAGGCCCAAATCTAGATACAAAACTCGCTCCTGTTTCACGTCACCTGGAGGTACTATGTGTGCAACAAGGATTCCCCTGGACGAGGTTTCCCCCATGTGCCCTCGTGTTGCCACTCAGAAAGTTTTGGATTTGGAGCATTTCAGAGTTTCAGATGAGGGGCATTCAACGTGTATTCCAAAACTTAAAAACAACCCAAACTCCACACCACTTCTGATCCAGGTGCCTCGGAGGAGGAACAGGGTCTGCGTGTGTCTGCGCATGCGTCGTCTCCAGGTTCGCCTGGCAGCAGAGCACGCGCTCGGCGCCAGACCCCACTTGAGCCCCGGGGCCTCGGGGTCAGACCCTTGCCTGACCCTCCTGAGGAAGGCTGGTGCAGATCACACGCTGAGGGTGCAGCAGTCAGAATGCGTGTGCTGGGGAGTGGCTGGCGCGGCCTGGCGGGGGTGCGGAGCGGCCTGGAGCGCTGGGTGGAAGAAGAGGTAACCGGGCGGCAGAAACCAACATGCCCGAAGGCTCCTGGCTCACAGCGCTGCTGGGGTCAGGAGGGAAGTGCACAAGGGAGGGGGAGGCCAGAAACCGAGCCTCCCGTGAGCTGCCCCTTGTCGGCCTTGCACAGCGGGCAGCAGCGGGCTCTGGAGGCAGTCGTTCGGTTGCCGGCCTTCTGCAGGCCCTGTGCTCAGGCCCTGCCTTGTGTTAGTTGGCAAAGGCCACAGCCACGCAGGATGCTCATGGAACCTGCAGGACTCCAGTTACGGGTGACGGCGACTCCCTCAAGCTGGCTTACGGGGGAAAGCGTCCTGGCCCACATGTGGAGGGTGCTGGGCCAGCTGCCTTCATCCGGCCCCAGTCCTGCCTTTCCCTCTGACTCTCGGCTTTGCTTTCTGCTCTGTTGGCTCTTTTCTCAAGCCGTGGTGGCCCGCAGAGCTCCGAGCTCGCCCTCACTGGGAGAAAAGAGCCCTCTTTCCCCTCTGGATCACCATTTTAAGTCCCAGGCATGATACAGCTCAGTTCCGGTCCCAGGCTCCTGCCTGACGCTAGGACCTGGGCCCCCCAGGAGCCCTGCCCAAACAGTTGGAGGTCTTTAGAGAAGAACTGGGCCTTGTGGTCAGAGGAGGGGATCAGCCTGCCGCAGACCCCGCCCCCAGGCCTCTGGGCTCAGGACAAGCTTCATGTTTTGTTACTGAATAATGCACTGGGGGCATAAGACACAGAAGATGTCATTCCCATGGGTAACCTTTGCTTTCTCTCATTTTCCAGGGACCACTTGGTCTGGATGGCAAACCCGTAAGTGATGACAAGGACATTTTGTGTGTTCCCAGAATGGGCTGCCCCATGGCCTGGGAGTGACCATGGAACATTCAAGGGAAGGGACAGATGGGTTAGAGAGTTAGGGTTAGGGCTGGAGTTAAAGGTTAGGGTTTAGGATTAGGGTTAAACTCTGGGATTAGATTTAGGGTTAGGTTAGGGTTACGTTAGTGTTAGGCTTAGGTTTGATGTTTATGGTTAATGTATTAGTCACTTTCCTGTCACTGGAACAATATGCACAGTCCTTACAATTTAAAGGAGGCGAGGTTTACTTTCACTCATGGTTTTCATAGGATTCATTGTTGGTTGACTCCATGGCAAAAACAGCATGGTGGAATTGCATGGTAGAGGAAAGCTGCTTACTGCAGGACAGCCAGAAAGCAGAGCGAGAAGGTGAAGCCAGCTAGGGGGATGCACCCTCCAAAGGCCCCCCCCTCTAAAAGCACATTTAGCTATGAAATCATCAGTGGATCAGTCCACTGGTGACTATAGTCCCCCATGATCTAATCATCTCCCAAAATCCCCACCTATGAATACGTAAGACTTTGGGGGAACATTTTAGGCCTAAACCATAACAGTTAGGGTTGGACTTGGGATTAGATTTGGAGTTGTTAGGTTATTTAGGGTTAGGTTAGGGTTTAAGATTAGGTTCAGTGTTAAGCTTAGGGGTTTGAGTTTCGGAGCGTGTTCATGTGTTATGATTAGAAGTTTAGAGATTTGAGCATATAATGAATAAACCACTTGGGTGTCACATGAATTCAAATCCATCTCCACCATCTACTGACTGCTTCCTTGAGGTGGCCTCTTCATCTCCTGATCTTCAGGCTCCTTGTTTCGAAATGGTGCATTCACCCCTCCCTCTTGAAGTCATGGAGAAATGTAGACAGTGTGGTCACTGGTGCCTGTTTAGCTCTCAAAGTCTGAAGGCCCCTGCAGCAGGCTCAAGCATAGAGTGTCTTGATGCATTCTCAAGATTTCCATGGTGGGCACTGGACTGAGAAGTTCTCAATGCCTGGTACAAAAGCCTATGATCCTCGGGCATCCTCAGCAGTTGAGCAAGATGCATGGAGAGACATAGCACAGTTAGATAATCGGATATGGACTGATGGAGGGGATGGACGGACAGATTGATGGGAGGGAGGGAGGAGGGAAAACAGATGGATAAAGGGCTGCCACCCTTGAGGGAGTATGCTTCTGGAGATAGGGTCTCTGTCTGCCCCCACCCTGCAGACTGCAGGCAGCTGCCAGGGGTGGTCTCCTCATCAGCATCTGCTCACGCAGGGGTGTGTGCCGAGCAGCGAGGGGCTGTGGCTAGCACCTGTGTCCTTCCCTGGTGAGAGGCTGTACCCATCGGCCCTTGAGGGTGGCTGCCAGACCCTGGTCTCCCTCTGCTGAGGACTGAGGCATGGCGCTTCCATGAGCCCAGCAAGGGCAGGTCTCCGGAAGCGTGATGGCCTTGTGTGTAACTTTCCGCTCAGCCTCCCACAGCCCTGCCAGCATCACAGGCCCTTCTGTCCCCAAGAGCATAGGGCCACTGGAAGGGGAACCCCCCTAGCTCTCTTCACTCACACCTGTTCTTTCTTACCTTCCTTCTCCAGGGACTTCCAGGCCCCAAAGGGGAAAAGGTAAGTACTGCTGAAGCCGTCCTGACGCTGGAGGCTGATAAAGGGTGCCAGTTCCAGGGTGACCTTGGGCGAGTCACAGCCCTTGTGGAGCCCCAGTTTACCATCTGTAAAGTGGGCTCAGCAATCCCTGCCTCTGAAATGGCGACCAGACTCACACAGACAGAATAGTGTGCTGGGTGAGTCAGATCCGAAATCTGGCGCCAGGGCATAACAGAGCTCAGAGCCACAGTCTTCCTAGATTGACCAGTTTCCAAAGAAATTAGCAATGAAAGAGGGTCCCGGAGGGCTTGGGAAGCTGAGCCGTGACTGTTCCAGGTTCTCTCTGGGAAGGACGCCCCCAGGAGAACGTGTGGCAGAGGGCCATCTTTGAGCCCTGAGAAAGACTTCCTGACGTTGGGCACTGGAAGTCAGGCAGCACCCTGAAGGCCTGGGCCATAGGCTTTTTTTCAAACACCCAATCTCAAGCTCTGCGTGACCTTGGGCGGTTACTTGGGCTCTTGTGCCTCCATCTCCTCATTAGGAACGGAGATAAACTCAGGGTCGGCCTGTCGCTTCTGTTAGAATTAAGTCAAACCGTGAAGCCTGGAGCACAGCGTAAATGCTCAGTAGGAAAGGCGCAGAAACAATGAAAGTGGTGGTAACCTGTGTCCTGCTTTGGTTCCTAGGGTGCGCCAGGAGACTTCGGCCCCTGGGTAAGAATGGCGCACACACACCTCGCCCCCTCCCCTGCTGTGTTGTTCTCCTGGGGTGTCCCTAGGGTGTCCCCATAGCTCAGCACAGGAAGGGGCTAGTGAGACAGCACGACTGCTGTGAGCACACCAGGGCCACCACCTCCCACACAGATGGCGAGTGTCCGGCAGACGTCACAGTCCCTGTGGCTGTCACCACGGTAGCCAGTGGGGCTGGCCCTGGTCCCAGATACCAGCCTTCCTGAGGGTAGCTGGTCTGACTACAAAGCGCGGCTCTGCCTCGTACAGCTGTGACCTTTCGCAACTCGCTCTCACCTGAGGAGGCGAGGTGCGGCCACGGCTCCCAGTGGTTGTCGTTGTCGTGAAGACTCACTGCAGCCCTGCAGGTCAGCGCCCAGCATGGAGACAGATCATTGTGTCCTCCAAGCCCACTTCTGCTTGCCCCTCAGGGTCCCCTTGCCTGCACTCAGAAGTGCCTCGTGCTGAGCCTAGAGTAGGCAGAGGGTCGCTTCAGTAGCCCTGGACAGGAGCCTCACTGCTCCCAGCACGGCCCAGGCGGGGAGGCTGAAAGATGGCATTAGCTGCCCAGGCCGCTGGGTACACCAGCGCTTTCTGGAAGGTTTGCCGTGGACATTGTAGCAGGGCCAGCCACCAGGCCAGTCACCTGCAGGCGCTGGAGGAGGGCGCCACCTATGGGGGGTGGAAAGGCAGCAGGGAGGAGCGTGGCTGGGGCTGTGTGGTCCCGACTGCTGGAACCCAGCACCACCCCTTCCTGGCTCTGAGCCTGTTTGTGTGAACTGAAGAGAGTAAGGTCCACATCGCCGGGGAAGGGGTGGCCGGGCTGAGTCCCCACAGCCCAAGCTGCCCTTGCCTGGGCCCCTCGCCACATAAATCTGGTGAGATCGCTCTGAAATCAAAGAAAGGGTGCTTGTATTCCTGCTAGGGAAAAGGCTTTTTGGCTGCTTTCTGGTGGCTGCGTGGGAGCTGATCTTCCCCAGAGGAATGCCCACGCACAACAGGCCCTAGGGCCACGGGAGAGAAACGTCCCTCCCTTCACGGTGTCCTCCTTGTTGTCTCAGTCCTCGGGTCATTTGTGGAGTTCAGTGGCTTAGAACAACACTGTGTCATCACGGAGTCTTTCAGGGTCTCCAGAGCAGGCGGGGTCTCTCATGAACATAGCGGAGGCAGCAGGTCCCGGAGACCGAGTGATGGGCCCTCCCAGTGTCGCCGTCAGTGCAGGTCCCCGGGCTGCACCCCCAGGCTGCCCTCTGAGGTCCCGGGTGCTCCAAGAGCAGCGCCCCAAGGGGCGGGCAGTGGGCAGTGGTGGCCTGTGAGAGGCTCTGCCCAGAATGGGCAGCATCAGCTCCCCTGCATGCTGTCAGCCCAGCCACAGTGGCGGGGTGGAGAAATAGACTCCTGCTTGATGGGGAGCAGCGAGGTCAAGCTGCAGAAGAGCCTGTGATACAGGAGCCAACGTGAAAGCCACCTGTGGAGCAGGCAGCCTGCACCCCGCTATCAAGCTGGGCCCTGAGCTGGGTGAGATGCCTCAGAGGCACCTCGTGGCTTTTCTGACCACACCACCTGTTTGCTGACTAGATGGTCTTCCCACGGCTCAGCCCGGGCTTCATAAGCAGAGACCACCTTGCGTACAGTCTCCGTGTCCTCAAGGTAGACGCTGAGCAGGACTGGGCCTTCTGGCTTGCTGTGCTCCCCGGTCCCCAGCTCACCACACATGTCCAGGGTTGGACCTCTGCCATCCAGTCCCAGCCGGGCAGGAAAGAAACTGGGAACCACCTCCCCTAAGACCCGCTGCATCCCTCAACAAGCAGACTGCAGGCCAGCGGTTCCCAGTCCTGGGCCTCTAAGCAATAAAAGGAGCAGCCAGAGCCAAGGGTGGAAAAACATCTAAGAGCCCGGGACAGCAGTACATGACTCTAATCCCAGCTACTCAAGAGGCTGAGGCAGGAGGATAGCAAGTTTGAGGCCAGCCTGTGCAACTTAGCAAGACCCTGTCTCAAAAACCTAATAAACACAAAAAAGTCTAAAAGAGACCGGGTGCCTTGGTGGTCAGAGGAGGCTCGGCTGTCCTGCTCTGTAACCCTCAGTAAATGATCGCCCCTCTAACTCCCAGCCTTCTTCTATACAATGGGGCAGTAGAGCCCCGGCTAGCTCATCACCAAGGTGGGCTTAAGATGCTCTCCAAGGGTCTTGCTTCCCCATGCTGGGTCCACAAAAGGCTTCTTCCTCTTTCAGTTACAATGAGGTTGGGAGCTACAGGGCCTATGACCAGGTGTGCCCTTACCTGTGCCGGTATTGGGCAGGCCTGGCCAGGGCACAGGAAGGTGCCGGTTGCACAGTGGGATTCCTTCTTTCTGGGTTGCCCCGTGGGGTGGAGGGCTCTGGCTGCCCGAGGTCTGACCCAGTACTAACAGCAGCTCTGAGAGCTTGGGCCTTGGTGTTGCCTGAGAGAGAGTGCGTGGCCCTGCACTGCCTTTCTCTTTTAGCTTTTCATTTTGAGATAACTGTCGATTCATGTGCATTTCTAATAAATAGCCCCCCATGCGCCCTTCAGCCCTTCATCCAGCTGCCCCAGTGGTGACATCTTGCACTGCAGTAGGACAGTCTCACAATCGGGAAGCTGACACTGAACAGCCCACCAATCTGATTCTGACTTCCCCAGTGTTACACACTCATTTGTGTGCATGTTCAGGTGTGTGTTTTGTTGTGTGCAGTGTCACCACACTTGCCGGGTTGGGTAACGCTACCCAAGATTCCTTGTGCTATCCCTGTACAGCAATGGGCAGATCCCTCCCTCTGACTTCACCCCGGCAACCACTCATCCCCACCTGGATCATTTTCCCATTCAAAGATGTTACACAAATGTAGGCATGTGGTATGTAGCCTTGTGAAATCGGCTTTTCTCAGTCAGCACGATTCCCTCGAGGTGCATCCAATTTGTTGCATGCGTCGGAAGCCTGTTCTTTTCTGTTTATTGCTGAGTAGTCCTGTGACATGAATGCACCACAGCTCCTTAACCATTCACCTACGGAAGGACGTTTTGTTTGTTTCCAGTTTGGGGCTATTGCACACAAGGCTGCTATGAACATCTGTGTACGGGTTTCCATGTAAACACAGGTTTTCACTCCCCTGAGATAAATGCCCCAGGCAGCCCCTCCAGCACTTTTAACGAGGCGGGAATTGACCAGCTGGACAGGTCTGTGAGAGGCGTCAGGGTGCTTTGCAGAGAGAAGGACACAGGGCCCTTCTCCCACACCGACCTGTGTCATCTCCACCTACACACCTCTGGCTTCAGGGCCGGACAGGTGGCACATCGCCTGAGGTGTGAAGGCTTCTGCTGGGCCACTGGGGCCAAGATGTAAAGACCTGTCCCTCCCTGCGGCTCTGGGGCAGCAGAAAGAGGCCCAGGAGGTATCCCAGGCGTCCCGTGGAGCCTGCCTCCGGGGTGGGGGCGGGGAAGGCAGCCAGCGAGCTGGGCCCCTCACCCTCAGGCTCAAGCCAGGCCCCATCTCTTTCAGGGGGAACAAGGGCAAGATGGAGCTGCAGGGCCTCCAGGGCCACCTGGGCCGCCTGGGGCCCGGGGCCCTCCTGGTGACACTGGGAAAGACGGCCCCCGAGGAGCTCAAGGCCCGGCGGTGAGAGCAGGCACAGGGCCGACGCCCCAAAACCCCAGCTCTGCCCCGAACAAGCCTGGCCCCGAGCTTCGCCTCATCCAGACCCTAACCCTGGGCCAGCCTCCGGTCCCAGTTCGAATCCTGTCCCCAGCCCCAGGCCCTAACCCGACCCAGAGCCCCACCTCAGCCCAGTCTCGAACCTACCCCCAGCCTGGCCCTTGATCCCGGTCAGGGCTCTCATCCCCGCTCCTTTCCAAATCCTGACCTGGGCCCCCATCGGGCTTATCCAGACTGCCCTAACCTCCAGAATCTGCCTGCAGGCATAGCTGTGAGCCCAGAGGGGCCCCGTGGTCCCGAACCCCAACCTTGGTTGCAACCTCAGTCCCAGCGCTGCCGGGGCGCTGGCCCTGAGGCTCAGGCTCGGGCACTTCACCATCCCCAGGCCTTGCTCCTCCCCTGCCTGCCTTTCTCCCCAGCGCTAACTGGCTAGTCAGCCTCCGTTTCCTCGTAGTCCTAACCCAAACCCTGAAGCCTAGCCCTTGTCCCACCACCCCTTTCCCTAACCAAGGGACTGCAGCCTGCCCCTCGTGCCCTGAGGAGCCCGTTCCTCCTCCACGATGCCCCCAGGACCCTGGCAGGGCAGTTGCTCATCCTGGAAATGGGCTCGTGCATTTCCGGGCACATCGGGCACTTAACTCCCCAGGCCTCCAGCGTCTCTCTGGGACTGGGCAGCGGCCCCACTTTCCAGGCCGGAGTGAGAATGCAATGATAAGACCGGGTGCCCCGCCGGCAGGAGACGGGGCCCAGTTAAATATGACACCGGCAGGCCCCTCATTGCTGTTGTCCTGTCTCCTCAGGGTCCCAAGGGAGCGCCTGGGCAGCACGGCGAGACGGTCAGTACCGGGGCCTCTCAGAGGCCTGGGCTGGCAGCCCCGTGCCCCAGACCCGGAAGCCCCTTTCTCGCCGTCCCGCACGCAGGCTGCATGCGGCCCGTGCGCATGCGCAACCTGCACACCTGCCCTCCGCCCTCGGCCAGGCAGTGGCAAGCGGGCACCAAGCCCGGGGGCCAGAGCTCAGTGGCCCCAGCTCCTGGGTCTGCACCTCGCTTGTCACTGCTTGAGCCTGAGGCAGCAGCTGACCGAGGCACTAGGAGTCAGTCCCCATACAGCAAACGCCTGGTTCCCCGCACCCTGCCTCCTCCCTGGGACTAGAAAGGGACGTGATAGAGGAAAGGCCCAGGCGCACCTTCCAGCGCGGTCTGACACCTTCTATTCTCTTGTTCCAGGGCCCCAAGGGAGCCCCAGGGCCCAAGGTGAGTGGTCCTCTGCTCAGAGGTGGGGGATGGGTCCCCCCCCCCCCCCCGGTTTTTTCCCCCGGGCAAGGGGGGGGGGGGGGGGCCCCCCCCCCCCCCGTTTCTTGTCCCCAGTGAAGCCGAGGCGGAGAGTTAGGAGATCCCATTCTGTGACCATGGGACTGTTACTGCCTCTCTGGGCCTCGGTTTACCCATCTATCGAATGAGAGCATGATAAACTTTTCTTGTGTTCACTTCACACTGGGTGGTGAGGGTTGAATCGTAAAGTCCATTAGCTGTCTGGACTTTATTTCTGGAGCGGTTTTTGAGTGGAAAGTAGAGATTTCCTGCATACGCCCCATGCATGGCCATCACCAGGAACCCCGCCAGAGAGGTGCATCCCTGTGGGACCGCCAGGGCTCTTGCTGGACACGCCAGCACGGCCGAAGTCCACGCTGACCAGAGGGCTCCCGTGGCGGGGGTAGCCCTGGGAGTTTGGCCAAGTGTGCGGCGATGTGTGTCCTCCACCACAGCACCCGCAGAATAAGTCCACGGGCTTGAGGATGCCCTGTTCCCCCAGTCCCTGGCCCCCGCTGAGCTGTTTACTGTCCCCATAGCTTTGCCTGCCAGGGTTGCAGGGTGGACTCACACCCCACGTAGCCTCTTCAGCCTGCCATCTTCAGCACGGTAGTGTGCGCCTAAGGTTCTGCCCTGCCTGTTCTTGGGTTGATCGTTCATTCCTTTTAGGGCTGACGAGCATGCCATTGTCTAGAGTACTGTGCACTTCCCATTCACCCCCTGAAGGGCGTCTTGGTCTCTTCCAGATGTGGGCATTGTAAGCTCAAGTGTCATCAACATCCGGGTGCAGGTTTTCATGCAGTCCCAAGTTTTAACAGCATCGTGTTCTAAGCCTTCTCTGGGCCTTTGCAGCCTCTTTTTCTCGCCTCCGTGGGGAGCACCTGGTGGAGGGGGTGCTGCGGTCCTCCTGGGAGGATGCAGAGCCCTGGGCCGAGAAGGAAGGGAGGGAAGCACTGCCCTTGGTGGCGCCTTCTGGGAGCTGGGCTCACAGGCCGTCTCTCTCCATGGCCCCCATCAGCCCTCTGTGGCTTCCGGTCACCTCCCCACTCACACGAACAGTGACTTGCCAGGGCCGCAGACCGACAGGGTTGTGAGACTCTACAGTGCTGGGCTCTCTGGGCTGGCACTGACTGGGCCACTGGTACCACTTGTAGGTGAAGGGCAAGGTCCAGGGCAGAACCACACCTGTGGCTCTGACCTCTCTAGCACCTCTTGTCCCCACTTCCGGATGAGCGTGGTGCTCCCAGAAAGAAGGTGAGGGCCCAGGGAGCAGCTTCCTGGCCAGTGTCAGGAAGGTGCAGGGGAGCAGGCCAAGGACTGGCGGCAGGGACAGGGCAGGTCCTCCGCGTAGAGGCCCTTGGCAGGTGGCTGCTCTGCCTCCTGTCTCAGCAGAGGTGGAATTTCATCCCTGTGTTCACCCACTCACTCCTTTCCCGGCCTCCATCACACACCTCAGGGCTGGGGCTGAGGTTCTCCAGCAGCATCAGTGTTGCCCAGGGCGAGCAAGAAATGCAGATTCAGGGCTGGGCCGGAGCTCCGGGATACAGAGCCAGCCTGGCCTGCGCAGGGCCCTGGGTCCCACCCCCAGCACTGAAAACCTTCTGCAGTGTGAGTTCTGGGCCAGCCCGGACTCTCCAAAGCAGAGGCTGTAGGGCAGGGCCCCCAGGGTCTGTGTACGCAGCCCCCTGAGCGGCTGAGGTGCTGGAAGCTTGGGGACAGCGCTGACCGGGATGGTACCCACGTGCTCGTCGTGCCGGCCTGGTCTTCTTGCCCCAACTCTTATTCCTGGCGTGGCGCCGCCTGTGTACTTCCACCATTCTCGTCTCTCAGCCTCCTCGCCTCCTTCTGAGCCAGGACCGCATCTGCCCTGGCCGCCGAGACACTCACGCTATCTGCGGCGTGAGGGAGTGAATGAGTTTTCTCGCGCGCGACTGTCCACGCCCTGTGACTCCAAACACTTGCTGGGCTGGCTCTGGGCTGGGGGCAGAGGACACCGATGACACGGCCCCTGCCCTGCCCTCGAAGTGGGAATGTGTGGGGAGGCTGGCGGCTCTGGAAGGGGAGGGGCAGCTGGCACCAGCATCAGCTGTTCTCTCTTCAGGGGGAGGACGGGATGCCCAGCCAGCCAGGGCTCCCCGGGCCCCCAGGCCCCAAGGTAAGTATGTGCCCCTTTCCCCGGGGGCCCTGCCTTCGTGGCCCACAGTTGCCACCTGCCTGGTCCCTGTCCTAGCTCTTTCCCGGCATGGCAGAGTGGGCCACTCAGCTCATCCAGACCCCAGCCTCCCTCATTCCCTCAGGTGCTCTTGGTCCCGTCTTAGGTGACTGCACTTGGCCGTGTCCCCAGCTGCACACCTTGCTCCCTGCCTCTTGCCACGGTCCCCAGGTCCTGGCCAGCCCGCCCCATGATGGACCCTGGATGGTGGCAGCCAGAGCCCCGGGACCTCTGGCTGGGGCAGCCCCAGGGTCCATCTCCTTGGCTGCCCAAGGTGCCCTCAGTGGGAGCCCTCCGCCTCAGGCCCCCAGGCTGCTGTCCCCAGTGCTGTGTCTCACACCTCACGGCGGCCTCTGCATTTCAGGGCGAGCCAGGGAGTGCGGGGCCCCAAGGACAGAGCGGCATGGACGGCGCCCCAGGCCCGAAGGTGACCTTAGCGTGCCCTGCTCTGGCGTCTGGAGGCCCCCGCACCGTCAGCCAGGCTTGAAGGGGGAATGTGGTCTCGGTCAGAGGGGCTGGGGGGCCGCGGGCCTGGCGCAGGTCAGGGCTCCGCTCGGCCCACTCAGCTCGGAGTGCTTGTCTCCCGGGACCTTCTCATGCATAGGCCCTGGGGCCCTGGCACACGGCCTCTGCCCTTCTGGGGAGAGGGGACTGGAGGGGTGGGGTAGGGCCCGCGCCTGGCTGCAACCATGTGTCTCCACAGGGGGAGCCCGGCCCTAGAGGCACCGATGGAGCCGCGGGGCCCCGGGTAAGCAAGGACCTAGGAGCTTCAGTTGCCCCCGAGACCACGGGGGGCAGTGGAGTTACAAGATCTGAGCGTCTTCTCAAACTGTTTATTGCTGACACTTTTACCTTTCATAACATCTGCTTACGGTCAGATATTCCAATACGGAAGCCCCAGAGTCAGAGTCCCGACCTCCATTACTAAATAAGAGTTCTTTCGCTCCCTGGTGCTGTGCGCCCTCCCAGCCTCCACCAACCGGTCACCCGCTGGGGTGGGCCTTGCGTTTTCTCTCCCCTCACCACCCTTGCTTCCCTGATCTCTTGCAACCAGCCCTAGGGACCTGGCCTTGCGTAGACCCCAGGGTCCCATCCTCAGCTGTGTCACCAGGGGTGGCCGTGTGCCCTTGGTCCCAGGGGCTGACTTCTCCTCCGAAGAACAGATCTGAGACCCGGCCTGGCTGTGCGGGAGGCTGGGGACTGGCTCGGGCCCTGAGGGTGGACTGTGTGTACGGGCCAGAGAGCTCCGTGCAGGCCGTGGTCTGTCAGCTGAAACAGGGCTGGCGCTGCTGTCCCTCCCCAGTGAGGGGCTGGCCTGGCTGACCCTTCACGCAGCCTGGGGGAGTGAGGCCCGGAGTGCCCACAAACATCCGGGGTGGTGTGGAGTGTGCAGTGTGTGCGGTTGTGTGGTATGCACTTAGTCAGAAATGCAGAGACCTTGGCGCACGCAAGTGCAGCCTGTGGAGGTGGGGAGGGCAGGACCCAGCCGTCCATGTCCCGCAGGAGCCCCCAGCGGGAGCGACAGAGCTCCACGCCGCTGACCTGCACAGCGCTCCCCTGAACTCCACACTCTGCCGCAGGGTCCCCCGGGCCTCAAGGGCGAGCAGGGAGACACAGTGGTGATCGACTACGACGGCAGGATCTTGGATGCCCTGAAGGTAGCGTTCATGGGGGGCCGGGATGCCACCTTGATACTCACGCCCTGGCAGCGCTGGTCCTGGAGGTCCTCACAGGGGCAGGGGCAGGGGCAGGGGCAGAGGCAGCTTAGCTCGAGGACCTCCCTCTTCAGGTGCCCGAAGCTGTCATCAGTGCTGTTGAGACCCATGCAGTGCTGGAAGAGCGACTGGCAGGCTGGGGGGTGTGGCCCCAAGTCCCAGGCCAAAGGGAAGCAGGAGGCAGAGCACTTCCTGGTGACCAAGCCCTTCTCGGGGCCACTGGCTGTGAGGCTAGGTCTTTCCACCACGGTTGGAGGGGGACGAGAGGGGAACCCTGTCCCACAAGCCTGCGACACCTGTGCCCACTGAGGCTGGCCCAGTGATGGGCAAATTGGGACAAACCACAGCCGAGTGGCTGGGTGCTGCTGCTCGTGGCACCAGGGCAAGGAGCTGGGGTCGAGGCATGGTGGTCACCAGAATCAGACCTGCCGTTGGCACCTGGGCCCGGAGCTTCAATCCCCGTTATCCCTGATGGTAACTACGGCCCGCCCCAGGCCTGCGTGTGACGGGTGTGACGTGGCTAGGGGGCGTGCATGTGCATGTGTGGCCCAGGCTGGCAGGGAGCCTTGCAGGAGAAGCCCCATGAGTTGTAACTCATAGGATTTTGGGTGCCTGACTGGTTTGATCTGATGGCAGCAGGCAGCCGTAGCCGGTCTTTGAAAAGAAGAGAGACTGGGGAGGACCAGCTCGGGAGTGGTAGGGAGGTTCATGGAGGTGGTGCAGGGGAGAGATAGCAGCAGGGAGCCGGCCGGGGAGGTCGGTGTGGGCCTGGGGCTGGAGATGCAGGGAGGAGGGAGGAAGTGAAGTTCGACGAGGGGCCTGGGCGATGCCAGCAGGAAGGGCAGGCTGGGGACAGGGAGTGGGGCGGGCACCGAGGCTTGTCCCGCCAGGGAGCTGGGCAGTGTGGCCTCAGCATCCATGGCTGGTGGTCATAAGCCTGAGTGAGGGGGCACCTAGGCGTGGTCTCAGACTTGAGACCCCCGAGCCCCCATCCCCTACCTGCAACCGAGGAACTCCTCGGGACAGGCAGGTGGCAAGCAGCAGAATCGCGTCAGCACAGACGGCTGGGCAGATGTGGTCCTTGTCCTCCAGGGCCAGCAGGGATCGCAGGTGCCCTGAGGCCCCTGGAGCCATCAGAGAGCCTTGGGCGGGACGGTGTGTGAAGACAGCCGTACTGGGGGAGACCGGCTCTGGCGGTCGGGGCCTCTGTGGGAAGAGGCGCTGAGAGCTCAGCCATGTCACCTGCCTGCCCTCGCCCTGCCCTGCCTGGGGGAGCCGACTGAGGCCCTTGAGCCGCTGCAGGCTGCAGCTGCTCCACAGGGCCTCAGCCGGGTGGGGGGGTCTGCCTGACCTCTGACCTGCTCCGTTCCTGCCACAGGGTCCCCCCGGGGCGCAGGGAGCCCCAGGGCCACCAGGGATCCCCGGAGCCAAGGTCAGTGCAGATTCAGCTGCGGGCTCCCGGAGACCTGGTCTCCACCTGCCTTCCCCTCTCTGCCTGTCCCCGACCCCCGAGTCCCTCCTGTGTCAGCCTGGGTCCTGGGGGCCCCGTTCTAACCATACCAGGTGCCCTCTTCAGGCCCTGGCCCCACTCCCCACCCACACACTGAACCGACCCTCCTCCCTCACCCAGCCCGGCCGGCATGGGGGCTTGTGCCTGCCTAGAGAAAGCCCAGATGTCGGTGACAGCTTCACAGTTCCCGGGCTCTGTGGCCTGGGCCTCAGTGTCCAGAGCTGTCACCTAACAACCTGTAGGCGACAGCCCCATGCTGCAGCTGCCCCTCAAAGCTCAGCAAACGAACAGCAGCGGCACCCAGGTGCCTTCCCGGGTGTCTCTGACCCCGCCTGGGAAGGCCAGTCGGGGGCAGCCAGGCCTCCCTCAGGCCACCACCCATCTTGGGGCTGAGGGGCACACAGGCCCTTTTCCTCTTACCATCTGTTCCCTGCAGGGTGAGCTCGGGTTGCCGGGTGCCCCAGGAATCGATGGAGAGAAGGTCTGTGGGCTTTGACTTCCTTGGTAATGCTGCTTCTGGGCCTGGGGTGTGCGTGTGCCTGGGCGTAGCCCTGTAGACATGAGCATGTCCTGCGTGGCCCTTGATGTCTGTGGTGTGTCTTTACTGCCTGGCCCCTAGCATGTGGCACATTGGGCAGGATATAATTATCTGACTGAGGGGAAGCCGTGCCTCCCAAGTGGCTGCCCCAGGCCCACAAGCTCCCTCCTGCCCTGCCTCTGGCCGCGCCCCAAGCACAGGGTCGGTGGGTGTCCTGGCCCCACCTAATCCCAGCGGCCCCCGCTGCCTTCAGCCAGGGCTTCTGGCTACACAGCAGGAGGTGGGGGTCTGGCCTGGCCTGACCTGAGCTCAGAACCCACTGGGGGGCAAAGGAGGGTCCCCTGTGCCCCACTGATTCTGTGATCTTGTGGCTTTCAGGGTCCCAAAGGGCAGAAAGGAGACCCAGGAGAGCCCGGGCCGGCGGGGCCCAAAGGGGAAGCAGGCGAGGTGGGCTTGTCCGGCCTGCCGGTAAGCGTGGGCTGGGCTGCCGCTGTGAAGGCGATCCCATCCCTCCCGGGGCGGCTGGCAGGGCTGTGGCGAGGCCGGGGAGGCCCGCTGGGAAGGGCAGGGCACACCGGCAAGGGACACCCTGGGCTTCCCGCCCATGCAGCCCCAGCTGACGCCCCACCCTCCTCTGTGGGACCTCTGCCCAGCCCACGAGGCAACAGGGCCCACATGGAGATGCGGCCGGGTGGCAGTGAGGTGGCCTTGCAGTCAGACTGAGCTCCAGCCTGGCTGCCCGGGCTTGCATCCAGCTCCATCGCTCCTGACCCTGGAACCCTAGACAGGGAGCTGACCTCCTCCAACCCTGGCTTCCTCACCGATAAAACGGAGTGAGGTCGGGGGTTTAGCTCAGTGGTTCTGCCGGCCGCCTTGAAAGCGCAAGGACCCGAGTTGGATCCCTGGTACCGGGGGAAAAAAAAAACAAAACAGGGGTGAGCTGGGCGTGATGCTGCACGCCTGTAATCCCAGCCCTGGGAAGCTGAGCCAGGGGGATTTTGATGAGTTCAAGGCCACCCTGGATGACATAGCAAGACCCTGTCTCAAAAACACCAAGTAAGGGAATAGACTAGACTAGGGATGCTAACTTCCGACACTCACGAGAGAAGTCGTAGACAGAGGTAAGCGTGGTGGTGCCGGGCAGTGAACCTGCTGTCACCATGGACATTTTCACTGCTGCTCTTGTCCTGCCCTGGGGGCGCTGAGCCAGGGAAATGGGGCTGCAGGGCCAGCTCCTCGCTCCCTGCGTGGGTGCAGGAGGAAGGGGAGGCCACCGGGCAGCGCGGGACGAAGTAAGATGGGCCGGAAGGGCTCACAGGCCACCGTCCACAGGGCGCTGATGGCCCCAAGGGAGAGAAGGGAGACTCGGCATCTGAGAGCCTGCAGGAGAGCCTGGTAAGGGGGTGCTGCGGCTCAGGGCTCCCCCAGCCGCAGCCCAGGCCCGGGGCAGAAAAGCATCTGGCCTGACCCGGCCCAGGGCAGTGGGGGGAGGGCTGTGTCCCCCGGAGGCCACTGGAGAAGGGAAGGCCAGCTGCCCAGTCCCCCACAGGCTGCACCCCGAGCAGGAGCCTCCACCCCGTGCTCTGTCACGCGGTTGGAGCAGGGCCAGGGAGGGAGGGCAGCAGGGGTGACTGACCCACCTCTACTTCCAGGCCCAGATCATAGCGGAACCAGGGCCCCCCGGGCCCCCCGGCCCCCCGGTAAGGACGGCTTGGCGTAAAGCAGCTGGGAGCCCAGGAGGGTGGCCACCTGGGGAGGACAGGGGTCTTCGGGGGGCCAGGGCCAGGGCCAGTGAGTGGCCTGAGGCCATCGAGGCAGCCCTGCCCTGAGTCTACACCCAGCCAAGCGCCATCTGCCCTCCTGTCTCCTCTTCCAGGGCCTCCCGGGAATCCAGGGCCCCAAGGTGAGTGGTGGAAGCCCCAAAACCACACCCCGTGCCTCGTCTTAGGGCTGGAACTTGCCCAGTGCCTGGCGCAGCCTCTGCTGCCCTGGAGCTGCAGCCCGGGGCTCTGTCCACTTCACCCTCTGCCCAGGCCCCAGCCACTGCCCTCCTCCAGCCTCCGCGTCGACCTCCCTGTCTGCCTCCCCACACGTCCCGGCCCACAGGCGTCTTTCTCACTGCCCACAGCCTGAACACGAAGTCCGGGCTGGGAAACCTCCAGTGTGGTCTGCCGTGTGCCCTGCCCCGGGAGGTGGACACAGGTCCTGTCAGGCCTGCACCCCTCACTCGGGAGGAGGAGAGCTCTGCTCTGCCCCCAGCTCAGAGGCCGGGTGGGGACCCGAGTCGCAGAACCCCACCCTGAGCGGGGCCAGTGTGTGGCCTGACCAGAGGTGCTGCTGCTGCTGGCTCTGTTCTGTCCCGAGGCCTCCCCAGGTTGGATTCAGGCCAGGCCGATGCTGTCTGGGACCGGGTCCAAGGGGGGCGCTCCGGAAGCTGGCTGGTGCAGGCCCAGCCCTTCCCCTGCCCACCTCCTTGTCTGTGGAGTGGGTGTCACCCTAACCCTCCCGTGCTGGGGAAAGGGGAAGGCACCCCTGTGCTCTTTCTGGTCATCCTCCCTCGCAGGAGGCCAGGCCAGGCCTGTGGGTCCCACACCAGCCGCGTGCTCCACTGTCCTGCTGTCCGTCTGTCCCATCCCCACAGACTGAGTCTCCCCTTCATTTCCAGGGCCTGGACGGAGCAAAGGGAGAGAAAGGCGCATCAGGCGAGAGAGGCCCTAGCGGCCTGCCAGTAAGTGTGAGCCTTGCTTGTCCCCCGAGGGGCGACATCCTGTAGCTGCCACTCTTCCTGACCCACACTTCCCCCCCAGGGGCCAGTCGGCCCGCCGGGCCTTATTGGGCTGCCAGGAACCAAAGGAGAGAAGGTAACCCCCCTGCCCGGACACCCCACGACAGCCACATGCCCGTGGTGTCCCCAGCCTTCGAGGCTCCAGCCCTGGACCTCGCCGGGGCTCTGCCCTCACAGGGAGGGACCCGTGGCCCAGTGGATGCCGTTCGTCAGCCTCCCCGTGCCAAGTGTGGGTCCCCAGCAGCTGTGTTCCCATCCTCACACCTCTCTCTGTCTCTCCCCAGGGCAGACCCGGGGAGCCAGGACTCGATGTAAGTTTTCCATGGTCCCCTCTAAGTGACTGGGTCCCTCCTGTGTTTTTCCTCTGCCCTCATGTCGCTCACACGGTAACCTGATCCGGCCGGCGTGGGTGTGGCCCCTTCCCCAGGGCTGCAGCTGACTGGCTCCCGTGTCCTCAGCACCAAGGCCACGCAGGGCCTAGAGCAGGTGCCCTGTGGATCGATGATGGATGGACAGTGAATGGATGCTGGAGACTTGATGACTGGATGGGAGGATGCGTGGATGAACGGATGAAGGATGGACGGGGGGTGGATGCATGGATGAATGGATGAGGCTTGGCAGCAGGGATGTGGGGAGCAGAGTGAGGGTCCTGCAGCTACACCCTGGCGGAGATCATGAGGCCTTGTCTGGGCCAGTATTTCAGGGAGGAGAGAAAGGGAAGCCATAGCCTAGTGTTGATTGTATCAGGCTGCCTTTGGAGGAATAGCATAAACAAAACATAGTTTAAAGCGGCTTAAAGTGACTCATACCTGAGAAGTGCAGGGGCTTAGGCCTCGCCTCAGGGCACAGCTGGCTCAACACAGGGCCGCCTTAGCTCCCTCCTCTGCTTCCCATGTGGGGATCACTCAGGGCAGAGCCAGCAGCTCCACACCTCAGGCACCCTGGGCCGGATCCGGACAGATAATACTGGCCTCAGCCTGGTGGACTCTTGGCTCCCCTGGGCCCAGGCGGCCCACACTGACCGCCACTTGGCTGCAGGAATGCGGTACCCTCTTGGACACCCGTAATCGCTGCCCAGCCCCGGGTGGAGGCCGTGGACTGTGAGAGGGAGGCTGCAAAGCCGGGAACGCTCGGGAGGGAACGGTGACCAGCCGCAGGGCTGCAGCTCTTCTGTCCACCCGAGACCTTAGGAGGGCATGTCACGGGCCAGGAAGAGGGCCAGTGAGACCACACTGGAGAGAGACGGGCCCTGGACCCGGGGGAGTCAGGGGTGGCGTCCGAGTGCTCAGGCCACGGAGTTCATGTCACAGCTGCCTCTGGGAGGCCGGGAGCTGGGGGGGGGGGGCATCTCCAGGCCACACCTACGGCTCCCCCTGGCAAGCCCAGCCCCTTGTTCACCAGAGCCAGCTGCTCTGGGCTTCCTTAGACCCCACCCCTTTATACAGCAGCCCTGCTGGGGCCCCGCACCCCTGAGCTGTGCCTCTGTCACCTGCCCCATTAGGCAGAGTGAGGGACCACGTCAGATTCCTCCCTGTGTCCGCCTCCTGGTGGCTGCTTAGTCCTGCTGGGTAGAGGATGGACAGATAGACAAACGGACAGATGACTGTCCACAGAGCTGAGCCGAGGGCAGAGGACAGCGGACACTCTTCCTCAGTCTGTCACAGACAGTGACGCAGGCTTCGTAGATCCCCTGTGCCCCGCCAAGCCCCAGCCGAGGCCGAGCTCCTGGCCGGGACTGGAGCCGGGGCGTGCGTGCAGGCGCCACCGTGGTCCGCTATGGAGGAGGCAGAGCTGCTGCCCGACCTGCACGCTGTGCTGTCCCCGACGCCTCATGGCTCCCCGCCCGTGCCTCACCCCGCAGCATGAGCAGCACGAGCCAGAGGCCTGCAGCAGGGAGGGGTCTTGGTGGAGCGGGGCACAGAGTTCGGGAGAGGGAGCAACGGGCCGCAGCCCTGCCCTCGGGCTCAAGCTTTAATCCTCCTTCAGGGCTTCCCTGGTGCCCGAGGTGAGAAAGGCGACCGGAGTGAGCGTGGAGAGAAGGTGAGGGCAGCGGGGAGCGGGGAGGCGCTGCAGGGCTGGGCCCCGTCTGGCTTCTCTGAGGCCGTGGCGGCCACCACCTCGTTTCTCCTGCAGGGGGAGCGAGGTGTCCCCGGCCGGAAAGGCGTGAAGGGCCAGAAGGGAGAGCCAGGGCCGCCAGGCCTGGACCAGCCGTGCCCTGTGGTACGTGTGGAGCTGGATGGGGCCCAGCCCGGCCTTGGCCTGTATCAGTCGGCTGACACCTCCCCGCCCCGGGTTAGCTGCAGGTCCCAGGTGCTGGGTGCCCATGGCCATCTCGGTCATTGCTGCTCCCCCAGCCACATCTGGGGTCATGGCCTCCTCTCTGGAGATGGAAACCCTGCCGGGGCCCTGTTCCCTTCCTACCACAGCCCCGGGGGGGCCCGGCGTGAGTGGGGACCCAGCTCAGAGGGGCTGAGCCAGGAGCGGAGCCCCGAGGGGTGGGGAGGTGACAGTCCTGGACGAGCCACAAGGGTACAGGGTCAGGGAGAGCCCAGCTCCTGGGCTGGCTGCCCGGGCCCCGGCTGGGGGCTGACCCCTGTGGTCCCGGGCCAGGCTGGGGTGGGCCCAGGCTCCCTCAGGCCCTGCTCCCCAAGGCCTCCTTGCTCCCACGTCCCCCACTTGCCAATCCCTTGCCTCTCCCCGCTTTCCTGCCCCTCCCAGTAGCCCCTGGTAGCCCACCAGGTCCACGCTGGCCCAGTTTGGCAGCAGGCAGGAGTGTCCAGGGCAGCTCAGCCGAGACAGGAAAACGAAACGGCCGGGTCTGCAGCTCACACTGGCCAGATGTTTGTACCTGGCCACCCCCCGGGGGGCTGGGGACAGGGGTGTGCAGGCTCACCCAGCACCAGGGACCCCACCTGGTCCCCTGGCCTCCAAGCCTGGGTCCCCCCTAGGTGGTCGGAGAGCCCCATGACAAAAGAGCCCAAAGGACAGAGAGGAGGGCACCACAGAGGCCGGCCGGCCGCAGCTGGGGGCAGTGCGGCCCGGTTCCAGCCTCACCCTCACCCTGCCTGGGCAGCTCCCTGCCAGCCTCTGTCTCTGCACAGGACCGCCCCCGATGCGGAGGCAAGCAGGGCCCACCCGGGTCCTGGGGCCCAGCGAGGGGCAGCGGGCCCTGCCCTGTGGTAGGCGGTGTGGCCTGCTGTGTGCTGTGTCCCCCTGGGCCCTGGGCCTGCTGTGTCTGTAGCTCTGCCCCTCCCTCCCTGCCCCTGCTGCCAGTCCGTTCTGCCCTCTGCCCCTTCCCTTTCCTGCCCAGCTGGCCCCTGCTGTGCACCCAGGAGGCTCCCATGCCGTGTGTCTGTGGCTGTGCCTGGCTTCGTAACACAGTGGAGTGGTTTCCACCCTGGCCTCTCCCAGGGACTCTGCATTGTGTCCCCGCCAGCTCCCCGGCCGTGGGCACCGCTATGCCCCGACAGTCCCCTCCCCAGGCCAGTGTCCACCCTGCGCACCCGAGCCCACCCTGCCTGCCATGTGGATCCCGCCACAGGCCAGGGCTGCAGCAGGCACCGCCTCCCGAGGTCTGCTTCAGATGGTCTTGGGGACATTCCTGCCCACGGCCAGAGCCACCGTCACAGGGCCAGGGCTGGGCCCTCCTGGCAGGCAAATGTGTCCTCCTGCCTCTGCCACGCACAGGTGTCCCGGCAGGCCCAGGACAGGCGCAATCCCCCTGCACGTGGGCGGGGTGTGGGGGCAGAGAGCAACCGGCCTCACGTCCCTGTCACTTACTGCTCCTTCCTCTGCAGGGACAAGATGGGCTGCCCGTGCCTGGCTGCTGGCATAAGGTACTGTGCGGGGTCAGCCCTGGGGCAGGTCTGGAGCGACAGGGCGGCGTGTCAGGCTGAGAGCTGGAGCGGAGGGGCAGAGAGGGCCCTGGGGATGGGTGCCATCACTTGGAGCTCGGGTGCCTGCAGCACCCCACACAGTGCCGGCACAGCCAGCGACAACCCGGCCGTGTCTGTCCTGTCGCGTGGCCAAAGAGCGGGGCAGTGGTCCCAGCTATTGTGTGCCGGCCTACGGGTCACGTGGGGCTTGTGGGCACCTGGCACAGCCGGTACGGAGCCACCAGTGCCAAGTCCCCTGAGAGGCAGGGGGAAGAGAGGAGGAAACGGCCCTGCGGCATGGGTCACAGGGGCATCTCGGGCCCCTCGTCACCTGCAGTCTTTCCCTCCTTCACCAGTGACCCTCCAGCCCAGCGCACAACCTGTACAGATCCGTGTGAACCTTTTTAATTCTTGTAAAAACAAAACAGTAATATATTGATCTTTCGTGGAACGCACCACTGTGGCCTGTAAACCTGGCCGGTGCCACCCAGCCCAGCGGGCAGCACGGGCAGCATGCAGGACGGGGTGCACTTGTGGCACTGTGGGGCTCTGCTTGCCCAGGAAGGAGACGACGGTGACCGCACCTGCTCGGTTGGGTTTCCGGTCACCGGATTAGCAGACTTGGCCCCCGCTGCCTTGCAAGAGCTGTCCCCAAAGCCAGGAGTCCCAGGACACACCGGATCCAGCCAGACCCCCTTGGCCTGCTGCTCTGGCCTCTCCAGCCTCCAGACTTCGCCACAGCTGGCCGCCTGGACCCTGGCTCACCCAGGCAGGACACAACTCTGCCGGGTACTTGGCACTGGACCAGGGAGGCTCTGCAGAAAGCACCAGTGCTGGTCTGGCTCCCTCTGGAAACTGGGAGCAGGGCCCAAGACAGAGCCCGCTGTGGGGTGGTGGTCGCCGGGCATCGGACAGAGAGCCCCAGGCTGCGCTGGCTACTTCACGTCCTCACATCTCTCGGAGAGGGATGGGGCACTGGGCTGCCTGAGGAGACGTCCCCCACCCAGGGCTGTGGTCAGCCTGGCAGCACGGGGCCGCCAGTGAGGGGTGCAGTGGGGCGAGTGCAAGGCTGTCCGGCTCCTCTCCCCATGTGTAACAGGTGTGCTCAGGTAATAAACGCCACCGTGTGTGCTACGCCTGTCCTTGTGGGTGGCCCTGGCCACCTCAGGCACTGAGCGCTGGAGAGACAGGGACCCTCTTGTGTCAGAGCCACGCCAGAACCAGAGGAGGAAGCACGGGACTGGGGCCCAGACGGGACAGTTAGGAAGACAGCTCCACACCTGGGCCTGCCACAGTCCGCAGAGACCTTTGGCCTGTTGCTCCAGGTCACTGAGCTGCTCTTGGCCTCCTGCACTCTGGTTGCCAGTGAATGCTGCGTGCAGATCACCCCAAAGCTTGCGACCTTAAAATATGGCCAAGGGTGATGGTTCGCACCTATAATTCCAGGACTCAGGAGGCTGAGGCAGGAGGATCCACACGAGTTCGAGGGCAGCCTGGGCTACAGAGTGAGTTAAGTTCAGCCTGAACTGCATAGAGAGACCCTGTCTCAAAAAGTAAAACATTTCGGGGCGGGGGCGAATGGACTCAGGCGGGTAGTTCTCACTCAGTCTCCCACAGCTGGTGGCCGATGGTGCCCGTCCACTAGGAGCAGGACAGCCAGAACACCCCTTGGGTTCTTCCTCACTTCGTGGTGGCTGGATTCTGAGGGTAAACAAATCAGGTGGGTCCGGGGAAGCTGTCAGCGGTGACCAAGCCTGCAAAGTCGTATGGGTCCCTTCCTGACAGTCAGAGGTTCGGCCCAACCCGAGGAGGAGGCAGATGCCCCTCTCGAAGCACATTTGGGGAGAAAAGGCATAGAAAAGCTGCTCGACCAGCCCAGGGGCCACCAGAGGAGCCGGAACGGGGAAAAGCAAGGAGCCACAGGCGGGCTGAGCCAGCAGGAGAAATGGCCCCAGTGCACGCCTCCTACGCGGCCCATTCCGGTTCGCTCGTGGCCTCCCCGCCCCTCGGGAAGCCCCCACCCCTCGAAGCTCCGCGGGGACCGAGGCTCGGGGCGGGCACCCGGATGGGGCGGCAGCGAGGGCCTGCAGCCTGGCAAAGGCTGGGCTCTGGCCTGTCCTTTCGAATCGTTTGGCAGGGGGTGACCGGGTCTGGCAGGCAGATCTTGGAGGGGTCGAAGCCTCGCGCTCCTCCGCCTCAGGTTCCACTTGGCCCGTTGTGCCCCCTCGTGGCTGCAGACCAACCTGCAGCGCCAGGGCGGTTGGTCGGATGAGGCTGTGGGAGATGTCCCAGGGCCCAGGGGGATAACCTCCCTGCCCGCAGCTGAGCTTCAAGGGCGGGGGCGCTGGGCCCCTCACTACCCTTCCGAAGGGAGAGCGGCACATTTACCGCGTCTTGCTGTGTGCTGTGACATCTAAACTAATGGCCAGGACCACAGTCCCCCCCTTTTTCAGTACTGAGATTGCACCCAGGGCCTTCACACTGGGCTGCATTCCCACCCCTTTAAAATTTTTTTTAAAATTTTGGGATAGAGTCCCGGTAAGTTGCCCAAGCAAGGCTCAACCTTTTGATCCTCCTGCCTCGGCCTCCCAGATTGCTGAGTTACAGGCCTGTGCCACCACACCCAGCGCATGCTGCCCTTTCACAGGAGCCTGAGGCCGGAAAGGTCAGCTCACTCAGGCTCCTTCCCCTATCCCTAAGACACTGCAGGAAGCACAGGGGTGCTCTAGGTTGTCTTAGTGACGGGGTCACGCCGGGCGTCCTGTGGGCAGGGCCAGGGAGGCAGCCCAGGAGAAACGCCAGGAGAAACGCCCCGCTCGGCCCAGCGGCGCCTCGCCCTCCCCCGCAGGGGGCTGCGGTGCTGCCACCAGGCCGGGTGGGAGTTTAGGCGCAGCAGCCCTGGAGGTGCGGCCCAGCGGGCACTGCCGGGCGAGAAGCCGGCGCGCTGAGCAGACCCCGGCCCGTCACACGCACAGAGGTACACGCAGCCGCTCCCCCAGGGTCGTGTAAAACGTTGGCTCAGCTGATACTACAGATCACGAGACCCACTCCATTTGGAAAGACGCAAAAATCCTGCGGCCGGTCGCACGCCAATGGGATGTACTTGACGCCACAGAACCGTGCCTTTGCGATGGTTAGCGCTCCATGCTGTGTATATTTTACCACAATAAAGAACGCGAGGCTCTGAGAATGCGCCTTAAGTGCCTTAAGCGTGTTCGCCTGGGGAGAAGCCGCGCCCAGAGGGTGGCTCCGCTCCCGCGCCAAGCAGAACCCCGCTCCGAGCCCCGGGCCTGGGGCGCCCTTGCTCTCCGTCCGCACGGCACGGGTCTCGGTGTCTCTGGACCTAGCAGGAGCCGGGTGCCCTGAAGGTCCGGCCCGGCTCGCCTCGTCGGCCCGCGCCCTCCGCCCTGCGTGCTGCTCCAGCCGGAGCCCGAGCTCTTCCTGTCAGGCCGGCGCCAGGCGGCGCTTCCCGCTCAGCGTCACGGGCGAGCCCGAGTCATCCGGGCCGGGGCAGCACCCGGAAGGCGGGCGCGCAGGGAGCAGCCGCGGGGCGCGGACCTGCAGAGCGCGTTCCCCCGCGCGCGCGCGCTCGGAGCGGAAGCTGAACGCACAGCTGGGGAGGGGCGGGGCCTCGAGGGAGGGGAGGGGCCTCGGCTGCCCAGACCTGAGCTGGTCCCGCGCGACTGACAGCGCGGCGCCATGGCGGGCGCCCGGCACGCCAAGGCCGACACGCTGGCTCTGCGGCTGCGGCTCCTCAGGTACCGCGCAGGGGCCGCGCCCGGAGCCTCCCCACAGCCCGGACGGCGCCCGTCCGGAGACCGCCTTTGCCCTGCCGCCCCGGCAGGACCGCGCCCGTCGGCGGGACTCGGGAGGGGCTGAACGTTCAAGGGGGAAGAGCGGGTGGGAGCGCGGAGGGCCGGGGAGGGGCGGGCGGCCCGGGCTGTCGGACGGAGCCTCCTCTCCCAGCGCCCCAGGGACCCCCGTGACACGTGCTGGGAGCTCGGCCGCCAGGCTTTGAGTGACCTGAGGAAGGCGCTCGGTCCCGCCCGTGCTTCCTTCCCTGCGGGGGCCGGAGGGTGGTGGCAGCGCGCGCGATGGGCGGGCGGCTCTCCTCACGCCTTCGCATGTGCTGTCCACCCTCGCCTGTCCGCACAGCTCTTCCTGCAGACTCTTTTTCCCCGAGGCTCCCGTTAAGATCGTGCGGGGCCAAGGCCAGTACCTGTACGATGAGCAAGGGGCCGAATACATCGACTGCATCAACAACGTGGCTCATGGTCAGTGTCCACCTCCGGCTGGCGGGGCAGGAGAGGAGGCTGAAGCTGTGATCTGTCCCAAGGTGACCCGGAGGTTGCAGAGGCTGAGCTGAGCCTCCAGCCGCGCAGAGGAGGGCCCAGTCTTTGTGCAGCAGCGGAAGTCCCCAGGCCGCGCAGGGTGCAGTCGGGGCTAAGTACTGGATGTGGACCCAGTTCCCCGAGGAGCTGACGGTCCGAGAGCCGCCCAGGGCCCAGCCAGCCGGCAGTGCAGGCCGTCCAGGTGCACAGGGAGCCTGGGCTTCGGCCCCCCTGACCATCTTAGCGCTGCCAGGGGAAGCGGAGGAGGAATTCGGCCCCCAGCTGAGGCTCCCTGCGGCTGGAGGGAAGGGCAGTCCACAGTTAGCATGCACTGGAAGTGAATAAAGTAGAACTTCGGTGCAGATCCTTAGGTTCAGACCCCTGTCTTCCACTCACTCGGTGACTGAGCACATTACTTCTCTGCCTCACTTTGTTCATCTGCACAGTAGACGTGATGCTAGGCACTCGCCCCCAGGTGTTCTGTGCGATTAGCGTGAGTTGCTTTAAGTGTGCCTGACGCGTGACCAGCTCTCCGAACAAGTTCACTCATTATCCGTGGCCTTGCCATCAGGGTTACCTCCAGCCCCCGCTGACAGTCACCCTGAGCTCTGCCTCTGTGGAGCAGAAGGCCTTAAACTGAAGTGGCACTCGGAGGCAGGCAGACCAAGGAAGAGAGCGGAACTCAGGGAACAGAACAGAAGGGAAGGCAGGTGTATTCGCTGGCTGGTGGGCCCAGCGGAAGTTGCCTTCCAGGGTCTGAGCCCTGTTTCTCCCTCATATTTATCTGTTCTTCAGCCAGGGCAGGAGAGCAAGCAGAATTTTACAGAAGCAGAACTTAGCAAAGGGTAGGGAGGTGGAGGTAAACGTTGTTTTTATAGTTTATCTTTAAGACATAGGAGGTGGGCAGCTGTGTCTCAGCAGTTCATCTTCCAGGCACAGTGACCTTCGTGGGGTTAGCAGGAGGGGCCGCCCTTAGACCATCAGCCTTGAGATCTGCCAAGCTTTGAGACTGTCAGCCTCTGCTCTGTCTGTTTTTTCCATTTCAAACCCTCCCTAAAGACATGGGCTTTCTACATAGGGTTCCTGCCAGAGAATCTTTTGTTTCTTCTGGAATCTCGGGAAATCCTTTCTAGATCTTCCTTTCCAGAACTGTTTTTCCATTTCCCCCTCCGTTAACTGCATCTCTCCTGGCCCGGCTCATGGATGGGAACTGGGGGAGGCTGGGTGGGATGGCCGGGCAGAGTTGGCCACATGAGGGGACCCTCTTGCAGTTGGGCACTGCCACCCTCTGGTGGTGCAAGCTGCACACGAACAGAACCAGGTGCTGAACACCAACAGCCGATACCTGCACGATAACATCGTGGATTACGCGCAGAGGCTGTCGAAAACCCTGCCGGAGAAGCTCTGTGTGTTTTACTTCCTGAATTCTGGGTGAGTGGACTGTGGCCAGGCCCTGTGAGACAGCGAGGTGCCCGAGGAACAGTCGGCCTTGTGCAGATGCACCCCAGTGCTTTCTGTGGGGTCCCATTTCCCTGTCTGAGGTAGAGGCTGCCACTGCTTCCCTTCCAGGCTCATCGTTGGGGCTTCGTGAGGTTATAGGTTCCTTTATTTCTGCTTTGTGGATACAGCCTCAAGTCTCTGCCCTCAGGTTTCCTAGTAAAGAGCAGAAAGGTCAAATGGTTCTTCAAAGAATAAAAATCACTAAGAGAGGTCAGTGTGTGGGAGAAGAGCACAGAGTATAGCAAGGCCTAGGAGCCGTGTGGGCCTTCTAGGTGTCTGGGAAGTCTTCCCTGAAGAACCGCTTCTACATATAAGCTGAGAGCTCCCTGGGAAACAGCTAGCGAAGGAGAAAAGAAAGGTGCTGCCCTCTCCATGAGAAGTAGTCTCGTCAGGGGTGGCCACGAGCACCAGCCATGCAGAGGCCCCGTGGCAGGAACCCAGCACCCTGCATGTCTGCCAAACCAGAAAAGGAAGAGGAAGCACGGAAGCTGGCACTGGGGAGCCAGGCCCTTATCGGCCAAGTAGGGAAGGCGTTTCTGTCCTAAGCACTGGGAAGTTATCGAGGAAGGTGGTATCATCAGCGCAGGGGGATGACAGCAAGGCAGTAGCAGCCTGCAGTGGGAGTGGCAGTGACTGAAGAATTGGGCAGATGAGAGAGGACATTCCAACAAAGCGCAGCCTCGTGCGGTTCTCGTAACGATACTGCTTTTCTGTGTGTTGTTTTTGAGATGCTGGTCTTGGAACCCTGAGCCAGGTACACCCCAGCATCCAGAGAGAGTGAACATGGGGGCAAGCGCTGTACCCTGCGCTGCATCCCCAGCCCAGAACCAATTCGCACTGTCCTTGCCATTGCCACAGTGCACTCAGCAAGCCCCTAAGTAACGTCCACAACTTAGAATTTACACTTTCCATCTTGCAGAGGAGGAACCACAGTTCACAGAAAGGAAGCGGCTCAGAGCGGGTGGAGGGAACCTGAATGGGAGCCTCCCAGGGACAGCAGGGCGGGCTGGGACCCGGTGCTTTCTCTGCGGAGGATGGGGGCTGGTCCTGTTGGCCTCCTCCACCAGGCCCCTTCTGTGTGCACACCACTGACTAGGAGCCCGTGATCCGCGGCTGCCCTCATCCCGTCTGTCCCGGCAGTGCCTGACGGTGGCTGCGCTCCCTGGAAGGACTGTCCCCTGGCTTCCAGGCACCGTGCTCTGGGGGGTCCTGCCAGCTGCTCTGGCCTCTCGTGCTCCGTCCCTTTGGCCAGTCCCTTCTCTGTTTCCCAGAGCTGGCCCGTGTTCTCTTGGGGCTCTTTTCCTCCATGACCACATCTGTCCCCTTGGTGTTAGATTCCGCCATGTTCTGGAGACCTAGTTACACCACGAACTCAGGTGCTTCCCATACGTTCCAGACTCAAGACCTCGAACGGCCCACTTGACAGCTGACAAGCTTCGCCTGCCCGCAGTCAGTCAGGAACTGTCTTCTGTCAGCGCCTGCTGGGGGACTAGGTCCTCCTGGTGCTCCCAGCCTTCCCACCACCCTCTCATCAAGTCACCCTGCACATGGCCTCACCCGCCTCCCTCACACCTAATCAGATCTGCCTCACCTGTCTCCAGGGTATCGCTCAGCTGTGCCCACCTGTCCATCTCCTTGGCCAGCACCTGCTCTGGCATGGGCAGCCTCCTCCCGAGTCTCCTCAGCCCTGACCTCCTGTCCTCTTGGCTCCTCCACAAGGCCTTTGCGTGTGTGGCCTCCTGGCAGAGGTGTCTCTGACCCCCTGTTGGTTGTTAGGGTGGCCATAACAAAGTACAGTGGACCCTCAAGTTACAACCAGCCTGACATACGAACAACTCGACTCAATCAGGTTAATGGAGGATTCACCCCCTTGTTATCTATAGTGTGTACCCAGGCAAACACACAGATCTCTGCTGTACTGACTTACAACCAATTTGAGTTATATCCACCCCTCAGGAACCAATTGGGTTTGTAAGTCAAGGGTCCATTGTACCATAGACTAGAGCAGTGATGGTGAACCTTTTAGAGATGAGTGCCAAACTGCAGCCCCAAAGCCACTTATTTATCACAAAATGCCAACACTGCAGTTATACCTGAATACTGAGGTTTTAGTTTAGAAAAAACCACTCCTACATTCATATCGTTTGTCTTAAAAACAAATAACTCACATGCCTTTGGTTTGCCACCCTGGACTAGGGGCTCAAGCAGTTTGTGTTTTCCCACAGTTCTAGAGGCTGAAGCCCAAGGTCAGACGGCAGCAGGCTTGGTTTCTTCCGAGGCCCTCTCTGGTGTGCAGCTGACTGCCCACTGCCCCCATAGTCTGTCTGTGCACAGCGCCCCAGGGCCTATGCCCCCGGGCTCCCCTTGTCACAAGGACACTTTGGGCAGGACTAAGGCTCACCCTGAGGCCTCTTCCCCCTCCCTCACCAGACAGGGGCTGAGCCCACAGCTTCAGGCTAGGCAAGCAGGCCTCCACTATTTCCCCAGCCCTTTTCGCTTTTTGAGATGGGGAAGGTCTCCCTGTTGCTCGACTGGCCTTCAACTTGTGTGTGATCCTCCTGCCTCAGTTTCCCAAGTGGCTGGGATTATAGGCCTGCACCACCACACCCAGCTGATCTACTCTTTATTTATTTATTTTTCTGTGGTACCGGGGACTGATTTACTCTTTGGAAGCTTTACCTCCAGATATAGACACATCCAGGACATTCTGAGCTACTGAGGGTTGAGGCTTTAGTATGCTGATGTTGGGGGAGCACAGTTCAGCCCATAATTACCCCCCCATCCAGAGCGGGACCCCATGTCCAGTGCAGCTGATAGAAACTATCTCCCTTTCTTTGGTATTGGTTTTCATGACACTTTTGGGAGGGCAGGGCCTGTCTGTTTCACACACCTGCACACACGTGCTCCTAGACCACGGGAGGCCCTTGATGTTTCCCACATGCACCGGCAAGTGACTGAGCAATTGCCTGAGGCTTTCCTTGCTGCCCCACAGCTGTCCCAGCAGTGCCTCCCTTTTCTGTCATAGGTCAGAAGCCAATGACCTGGCCCTGCGGCTGGCACGCCAGTACACGGGACACCAGGACGTGGTGGTGCTGGAGCAGTAAGTCAGCTCACAGCAGGACCCTGGGTGCCTCGGGGAGAGGAAAGCTTGGGCCGCTGAGGAAGCAGGACAGGCAGGGGACCGGGCTCCAAGGACACCTCCCTGGAGGGTCTCCTCAGGTCACCTTCTGGGAATGGGCACTCTTTGTCAGGGACTGAAGGTCGGTCCCGCTGCTTTCAGATCAAACTGGTTGCAGCTGTCCCTTCTGAGTGCTGAGTAGCCGATGTGCACGAGGCCCACACCAACCTGAGCATTAGCACACTGGTTCGCCACGGCCCTGCACGAGCAAACCCTCACTTTGCAGAGGAGAAAGCTGAGCTCGGGTTCAGTGATTAGCACATGAGGCGGCCGGCCAGGTAGTGGCTGTGAAAGAAGCCCTGCTCATTCCCAGCACGGGGCCTCGGGGCCGTGTTAGAGCCGTCGGCTCCCTGGTTGCCTCTGGAAGTGGGACAGTGGCCAGGCCCCGGCCGCCTGAGCCCCCAACCTTCCTTCTCCCCAGTGCTTATCATGGTCACCTGAGCTCCCTGATCGACATCAGTCCCTACAAGTTCCAGCACCTGGACGGCCAGAAGGAGTGGGTCCATGTGGTAAGCAGCGCCCTCACTGGCAGCAGGTGAGCGCTGTCCCCAGCCTGGTGACGGGGTACTGTCACTCCCATAGGCACCCCTCCCAGACACCTACCGGGGCCCCTACCGGGAAGACCACCCCGACCCAGCGGTGGCCTATGCCAACGAGGTGAAGCGCGTGGTCAGCAGCGCGCGGGAGAAGGGCCGGAAGGTAACTGCCCACAGCTGTGCGTGCGTGAGCACACCTGCGCGTGCTAGGTCAGACGCTGGGAAGCCGGGCAGAAGGAACGAGCCCCGCCCCTGAGAGGCCCGGCGTGGTGGGGAGCGAGGTGCCCAGCGGGGGCGGCAGGAAGTAAGTCAGGGAGTGCCTGGTCACAGGCAGCTAGGCTGGGTGGGGCGGGTGTCAGGAGTGTCCTCGGAGGAGGCGCCACCTGAGCAGGCCTGACGGCAGGCGAGGCCACGGGCCAGGCGGGGAGGGGCGGCTGTGCAGGGATGAGGGTGTGTGAGCCAGTCCTGCACGGAGCGAGCAGGCCAAGAGCCACTGCCAGTCTCGGGAAGGGAGGGCAAGAGATCCCTCTGGGCCATGTGCCGGGTGGGACAGCCGAGAAGAGACCTTCAGGGCTGGGGGGGGGGGGGGGGCAGAGCCAGGACCTGCGCTGTTCCGAGGGTGCTCTTCGGCCAGGTGAGGGCTCTGGAGAGCGTCCCACGAGACTGAGTCCTGTGTGGAGAGCGGATGAAGGAAGACCCAGCCCGGGGAACCCCGTCACTTCTGTAATGCCGCTCCCACTGCGCTGGGGTGGAGGCACATTTCCCATCCCCTGGGCTTCCCGTGTCCCAGCAGTGACCTTGGAAGCAACGCCCTGGCAAAACAGTTGGGAAATCACTGCTGCGGGGGAAGGGGTTCACGCAGGGCAGCAGCAAGCTCAGCTCCCTGGGTTGGGGCATCACCCCAAGGGCCACGTGAGAGGCAGCATTTGCAGGAGGCTGAGGCAGGCAGGTCTGCTAGAGGCAGGTGTGTCCAGGTGGAGAGGAAGCAGCAGTTCAGAGATGAGGCGGGTGGTATATAGGACTCTTTGTTACTTCCCTCTTGTTGCTGAGAAAATACCCGACACCCAGGTTAAAGTAGGAAAAGTTTATTTGGATCAGTTTGTAGAGGTTTCAGTCCATAGCTGGCTGGCTATAAGGCAGGGCTGAATGGCAGAGGGCATCACAGAGGAGAAACAGTCCATGGCAGGGCAGGCAGGAGGCAACAGGTGAGAAGTGGCAGTTGCAGTGCTAATAGTGGCTTCTTTCTGTTCTACTACTGTGCCCCTCCAGAACTCACACGCAGAACCATGCCAAACCAGTCAGTGGAGTAGTTTAGTAATCCCTCACCCTAATCCCAGTGTCACACACTCTAGATCCAGCCACCTCTGAAAAGCATTGGCTTTGGGAGACAGCTAGGCACAGCCTTAACGGGCTGTGAGAGGGAGGCGGGTGGCTCAAGGCTGGGTTCCATCTATGTCTTAGGAGGAGGGAAGAGAATGGTACTGGTCACAGCGGGGGAGGGGGAAAGAGCACGTTTGTGCTTTAGTGCTTGAGTGACTTTAGTACAGAAGGTGAAGGCATCCAGGTGGTCAGCTGGTTTGAGACCAGAAGGAGAAAAGAAGCACAAGCCCTCAGATGTGGTGAGGAGCCGACAGCAGATGTGGCAGTGAGGGTGACCCGTCCTGCTGGGGACCAGCACCAGGCTGGCAGGAGCAGGGAGTGCCGGGCCCTCGCTGTGCTCCCGACCCCGCTCATCCACAGATTGCGGCCTTCTTTGCGGAGTCGCTGCCCAGTGTCGGCGGGCAGATCATTCCCCCTGCAGGCTACTTCTCCCACGTGGCACAGTGAGTAGGCAGGGGCTCTGCCCCAGGCCCGACCACAGCCTGCTCACCTGAAGCTTGGCAGACAGCCCCTGAAGTAGCGGTCGAGAGAGGCCGGCCTTTTGCCCAAGGCCCCACCTGACCTCGCGTGGCCTGCTGGGCTCCTGGCCTGCCTCCTCACAGCCCGGCCCGGCCACGTCTGTCCTCTGCCTCAGGCACATCCGCAGGGCTGGAGGGCTCTTCGTGGCAGATGAGATCCAGGTTGGTTTTGGCCGAGTTGGCAAGCACTTCTGGGCCTTCCAGCTGCAGGGGGAGGACTTTATCCCCGACATTGTCACCATGGGCAAGTCCATCGGCAATGGCCACCCTGTTGCCTGTGTGGCCACCACCCAAGCTGTGTCGAGGGCGTTTGAAAGCACCGGCGTCGAGTATTTCAATACGGTGAGTGAGGCTCGGGCAGGGAACACCGTGGGCTCTGTCAGGCCCCGGGCGGCCAGCGTGTCCCTAGCAAAGGCCACAGAGCTCTCTGTACAGTGCTGTCCTCAGGGACGCTACAGCCATGTTAGTCTTCAAATGTACCAAAAACCATCTTTAAAAGTCAGTGGCACTGTGCCAGCTGACACACCTGTAATCCTAGCTGCTCGGGAGGCCGAGGCAAGAGGCCCACAAATGCAATGCCACCCTGGGCGACTTAATGAGACTCTGTCTCAAAAATAAAAGGGCTGGGGCTGCAGTGGCAGAGCGCTTGCCTAGCATGCATCAGGCACTACACACACAGTGAGTCCCAAAGTTGTCACCAGACAGGCTATCTTATCAGAAGCTGCTTACCATGTGCCAGGCCGTGTCAGAGGCTGGAGCCAGAGCCGGTGAAGCAGTATGAGGAGCTCAGATGGCGGACAGTGGCCTAGGAGCAGGGTTCAGGTCAAAGAGTAGCTGAGAGGAAGGCAGATTCCCTGTCCTCAGTTACAGGGCCAAGACCTTTCCCTAAGTGAGGCCGACACAGCAGCATGTCCAGAGCCTCTGACAGCAGTTCCGGGTGGGCAGCAGGAACCTCACTCCGGAGATGAGTGCAAGGGAAGTTGTTTGGCTTTGTGGTGTTGATGGGACCCAAGGCAAGCACGGCCGCCAAGTTGCACTCCCAGCCCCTTGGAAGGGTTCTAATCATGGAGAAATGGGGTCTGAAGTGGTCTTTAGACCTCTGGCAATCAGTTTGGAGAAAGAACCAGGGAAAGGGAGGCTGGTCTGGGCAAGAGAGGAGGGCCCAATGTGGGCTTAGGAAGGGACCGAGTTGAGAACTCACCACGATCTCCCCAGGAGCCAGCTTGAATTCAGGCCTGAACATGCAGGATTTGGCCAGGCAGAGAGGCAGAGATCACAAAGAGGGAGGGAAGTGACACTTTGGCTGGTGCTTTTGGGAAATGCTCACTCTGCTCAAGCGACACAGAGCCTCCGCCCTGGCCCACGTCACTCTGAGGGGAGACAGGCAGGGCTGTCAGTGCCGTGACAGTAGAAGGGACCCCCCCCAGGCAGGAGGCGGGCAAGGTGCTGAGGGACAAGTGAAGGAGGCAGCCCTGAGGAGGGAGGAGCGTAGTGTGCCGGGTGAAAGGCACATACGTGACCCAGCAGAACTCGACTCTGATCTTTATTTCTTTACTTGAATTTCTAGTGCACAAAACTAGATTAAATACAAGCCTTGAACCATTCTGCATGTCACCAGGCTCAGCCCCACCTCAGCTTTAGATGACGTTTTCCACAGCAGTGCACTAGTCCACACCCCAGCAGCAGTGCACGTCCTTGTACACACCTCTCGCTGTTGCCAGTCAAACTGGGTGTGAAATGGCAGTTCTTTGGCCTTGTATGCAGTTCCTGGATTCCAAATTATGTGAAGCAGCTCTTCATATGTTTAACGTGAAATCATGGTTTTTTGTCTTTTGCTCATTTTTAAATTACTAGTGCTCTGTGGTTGCTTTTTGTCTGTGTACCATACATGTGTGTATCTATGTATCTCTGTGTATGTATGTTTATGTACATACCCCCACACACATCAATTATACTGGTCCCTTGCCAACACAATCTTTTCACTCCCTTTATTAATAAGCAGTTTTTGAGTTTAATATCAACTCTTGGCAATCTTCTAAGTTCCCTTAGTCCATGTCCGTAGTATATAACGGCTGCATTGTACAGTGCATTGTGGGGCCTTGGTACTTGTACAGAGCACACCCTCCCTCTTCTCCATCCCTCCCCCTTTCTTCCCTCCATCTCTTAGTTCCCTTCTATTCATTTATTTCTTTTTGGTACCGGGGATCAAACTCGGGTCCTTGTGCTTGCAGGGCAAGGGGCAAAACCACTGAGCTAAATCCCCGGCCCGTAGTTCCCTTTTCATTTGCAAAAAGTCTATCTCTCGTTCCTATTACCTTTTATTTTACTCTTCAAATTATACTTTGGGCTTCTGATGTAAGATAAACCATGTGATACTTAAGCGTGTGTGTCTGATTCGTTTCACTTAACATTATGGTCTCATGATGCATCCATTTTCCTACAAATGACTCAAATTTAT